CCCCCAGCTAACCAGTCACCATGGCTTGTTGAACCTGGCTGCAGACCTTGGTAAGAAACTCTAGGTTACAGGGGAATTTCCATTAGGTCAGAGCTGTCAGGAAGCATGGGAGGCAAAGGGTGTTGGAGGTAGGGAGTCTATAAGGCAAAGAAGCAGGGAGGAGAGACTCATGGGTACATAGGCCACAAGAAGAACAGATAAGGGATCCAGGAGAAGGGAGAAATCAGGCTGAGTCCTGGCGACATAGAAACCACTCAAGACTGTGTGCTCAAGAAATCCTGGTGGGCTGGGGAAACAAATAGAAACAATAGAAACAATTTGTACAGAACGAGGCTGTAGTAGAGCACCGCCTCCTTCCTGATACCCCTTCTTTACTTGGCTTACAGGATATCACCCAGCTTGCCTGCTTTTCTACTTATATTTTTGGCCTTCCTCAGTCTGGTTTGCTGCTTCTCCTAGTTTCCTTAAATGCTGAATGTTGCAGGAAACTATTTTCCATCTACACTCACTTCTTTGATGATCTCATCTAGTCTCATGGCTTTAAATGCCATCTATGTACTGATAACTCCCAAATTGGTATCTCTAGTCTAGATCTCTCCCCTGACCTCAGACCTCCTGCCCCCTCCTCCTCCTGCCCTCTCACCATCTGTACTCCAGTGAGCATTTCAAACTCCATACATCCAAAAATGAGCTCCAGATAGTTCCCCCCACAAAACAACATCTCCCTTGTCTTCCCCATCTCAAGAAATGGCAACACTGGTCTTCCAGTTGTTCAGTCCTTTATTCCTCTGATACTCCACATCGAATCTGTCAGCACATTCTCTTGTCCCTACCCTCTAAATATATTCAAAATTCATCCACTTCTCGTCCCCCACCTCTGGATTATTGTAATAGGCTCCTAGTTGGTCTCCCTGCTTCTGCCACTCTCCCTCCTGAATCTAATCTTCGTAGAATTGCCAGAGTAACTCTGTTAAAATGTAAATCAGATTGTGTGGATCCTCTGCTCAAAACCCTTCACAGGATTCTCAACATGGAGTAAAAGCTAAAGTCGTTATTGTGACTTGCAAGGCTGTACTGTCTGGCTCCTGCTACCTCTCTGTGCTCTTCTCCTACTCTTACCATAGTACTCGATGCTCCAGCCATTCTAGACCCTTTGCACTTGCTCCCTCTCTGAAATGCTCTTTCCTAAATATCAGAACAGTGGGGCCCCCCCAATCTTTTTCTTCAGACCTTTACTCAAGTCATCTTCCTAGTAAGGTCTTCCTTGGCCCCCCTACCTAAAACGAAACCTCTCCCTTCCCCGTTTCTCCGATTTATATTTTCTCCTAGGTATTTACTGCAGTCTTAAAACTATATATTTTATCTATCTTGTTGTTTATCTCTCCCATTAGAATGGAAGCTGCATGGAGTGGGCGGTCTGTTTTGTTCACTATTGTATACCCACTACTTAGGCTAGTAACAGGCATATAGTAAGGCACTCAGTAGGTATTTGTTGAATGAATGAATGAAAAAGGTGGACATTTCCAAGAGGCAAATTTTACTCTTTAATGAAAACCTTTATGGGTGCCTGGGTGGCTCAGTCGCTTAAGTGCCTGCCTTCCACTCCCGTCATGATCCCAGGGTCTTGGGATCGAGTCCCGCATCGGGCTCCCTGATCAGTGGGGAGTCTGCTTCTCTCCCTCCTTCCTGCTTGTGCTCTCTCTCGTTATCTCTGTCTCTCTCAAATAAATAAAAATAAAATATTTGAAAAAGAAAAGAAAAACTTGGGGCGCCTGGGTGGCTCAGTCGTTAAGCATCTGCCTCCGGCTCAGGTCATAATCCCAGGATCCTGGGATCGAGTCCTGCATCGGGCTCCCTGCTCCGCGGGAAGCCTGCTTCTCCCACTCTCACTCCCCTTGCTTGTGTTCCCTCTCTCGCTGTGTCTCTCTCTGTCAAATAAATAAATAAAATCTTTAAAAAAAAAAAAAGAAAAACTTTTTAACGACTAGAGTTGGTTGGAAACGTTATGTTACATATACGTTGGAAACGTATATGTTAATATACACAGTACACTACCACTTAAACATGTAATCTCATCAAATCCTCACATCAGTCCAGGATAGGAGGAAGGCTGCACAGTTTATGAAGCTGGTTGAAGAGGAAACTGATTCCAGGTTGGGAGAAAAAGGACCTGTTAAAGTTCACACATCTGGTGTGGTCAGGAGTGGAATCGTGGATGATTGCTAGCCCTAGACGAGGCTGGTGAGTGATGGAGCTTAACGGGGTTGGGTTCGGACTGCCGGTTACAAGAAGGCATGATCTCTGAAGGGGAGGCTGAGTCAGAGGTTACAGAGGGGATGCTTCAACAGAAGCATCAGCAAAGGACTGGGAGAGATGACGAAGTTGACCACTAAGGTATTTAGCCCAGGCCTGGAGATTTGACCACTAAGGTATTTAGCCCTGCTGACTTCCCCAAAAGCAGTGCCCTGAGGCTGACTAGTCAAACCCATACACGATCTCGAATGCAGAACTGGACAGGCAATCTTAAGAAACCAGTGAATCCACTGTGGGTCTGCAGAGTTTGGCTTCTCCACTGGACTGTGAGGTCTATGGGGGCAGGGACCGTGTTCTAGATTTATCCCCAGCTTCTAGCAGAGCCTGGAATATAGTAGGGACTCAACGATTTCTGTTGAAGTCATACATAAATGAATGTATGCGCCCAAACAAGAAACTGAAGGTGAGAAAGAACGGACGGAGGGGCGTAACATCATCCAGCGATTTTGGTGTAGAAGCAGACGAATTTTCCTGGGACGCGGCAGGACAAGCAGTCCTAGTACTAAAGCAGGCTGCTGCCAGCTATTTTTCAGCAGGGGTTGGCAGGCAGATCCTGGCTGGGGACGAAGGGGCGGGGTTAAATGGGCCGTTAGAGAGGGACCAGGCTGGAGAAGCCGAAGGGCGGAGGCTCCAGGAGGGACCAATAGAGTAGGCAAATTTCCAACCTCAACGCTGTGACTAAGGTGTGTAACGTCACATCCGGTGTGGTGGGCGGGAGCGGGAAACAAAAGGAGAGCAAAGGCGCATGCGTTGGTGCTTCTCAGGTTCTGGCGGGCTCTTCCGCTCAGCCCGAGAGAAGTGCTTCCGGGTTGCCGCCGGCTGCCGCCTCCCGGCGCGGTAAGTACAGAAGCCAGGCTGCGGCCGCTGTCTCCCTGCCCCTTCTCTTCTCCCTCCTCCAGAGAAACCCCGTGGCCCTGCCCCGGCTCCTCAGGACCTCCACGTTCAGACGCCTTTTAACATTAAAGAGCTCCAGCTCATTGGCCGCTTCCTCGAGGCTAAGCCCCACCCCGTCGCCCAAGATCCGTCACTCATTGGTGTCACTTTCTGTCACCCAGCATTTCTTCCAGTTAATTGGCCCTATTCAGGCCCCGCTCCTTTCGCGATTAGCAACCCTATAAGGGCAAATGCCTATTCGAATCCCGCCCCTGCATTCTTCGTGTTGGTCCACCCCGCGGTTATTATCATAATAAGCAAAGAATGGGCGGTGGCTTTGAGGCGAGGGGTGCGCTTTCGGAGCCTCAGTCTCTGACCTCTCCTACTAAAGGGGATTTGAGGATGGGTGCTGGTGTGCTGGTGACATTGGCGGGGAAGCTGAGGTTCACGGAAGGGCAGCGGCTGGCCCAGGATCGGTCAAATGAGTTTAGGGCAAAAGCAGAACTAGACGTAGGTCCTTTTCTCCCGCTCATCTCCTCTAGTGCCTGGCCTCGACTTCTTCCCCGTGGGAATTTGATGCCCCAACTCACTTGTGATCTAGAGCCAGTCGTTGCCTGTCCCAGGGCCTCAAATTTTCCTGTGAGGTGAAAGGTTTTAATTCAGATTCCCCAGGACCTTTCTGGTCAGCCCCCTCAGCTGCTTAATCCGTGCCGAATTTACTTATTCTCCCACATGATAGTTCATTCAGCCTTCCATTTACTTATCCATTTACTCAGGCCTTTAGAATGTCTTTCTGAACCATACTGCACGTGGTACCCCACCCCCACCCCAGTTCAGCTGTGGTTCATGAGAGAGGTGATTAGTGTCCTACATTTCTGACACTGGGTAAGTATGGTACAGATCATAGAGGGGCAAAAAGTAGGTCTTACTGTTGGGAGGAGGTAAAGATAGTGTCAGTGGAGCCCTGCTACCTCTAATTTCGTCTAATTTTGTAATGCCAGTCTGCATTCTGGATTCATAGCTCTACATTTGGCTTCCATTCTCTTCCCTGCCTTGAACAGTTTAAACCACTTTACTTCTCCATAAAGTAAATTAATTATCAGAATAACTATGAGGGTGTAGTATAATTGTTATTATTCCCCATTTTACAGATGAGGAAACTGAGGCTCAGAGAGGTTAAGTGACTTGGCCGAGGTCAAACAGCTAGTAAGTGGTGGAGCCAGGACTCAAACCCAGGTCTGTCTGATTCCCACAAAGAAGAGCGATTTCCCTACCTTCTACTCCACATCATCCCCAAATTAAACTGTAACCAAATAAAACCCCAAACCAAAGACGTCTGACCGAGCGGGATTCACCTGGCCCTTTACCTCAGTCTAGGAGCCATGTCCACTTTGTTTCCCTCACTCTTCCCCCGTGTGACTGAGACACTGTGGTTTAATCTGGATCGACCCTGTGTGGAGGAGACAGAGCTGCAGCAGCAAGAACAACAGCATCAGGCCTGGGTAAGTAAGGACCTCGCATAGTGGTGGAGCCTCAGTCAGGGAGGAGCTTTTTGCCCTGGGTTGGGAACAATCAACCTGGGGGGCAGGAGGCCTAGGTTCACATCTTTGTATGACCCTGATTTACTGTGGGCCCATGGGACTTCTGGGCCAGACTGGAGCCTAGGCTCTTTTCCCTAAAGCATAGGAAATAGTTTTGACTTTATTGAGGACCTAGTAGATGTGATATTCTAGATTGATAGTCTCTCACTTCACCCTCACAGTAATCTTATGAGGAAACCATGGCCCAGAGAGTTTATGTAGTTGGATCAAGTTTATAAGTAAGTGGCAGATGACAAGAGATAAAGGGATTGTCTCTTTCAGGAAACTGGAAGGAAGCTTCTCCACATTTAAGGGGTCATCTTAGGGGCAGAATGGGCCAGTCCCATGTCCCTGACCTGTCCTGCTTGTGCCCTGACCATGCTCTCCTCCCACTTTGGCCATAGCTCCAGAGCATCGCAGAGAAAGACAACAACCTGGTACCTATTGGCAAGCCGGCCTCAGAGGTGAGTGGTTCCAGCAGGTAGGGCTTGTGTGGGGCCCAGGCAGACCAAGGCTCTGCTCTACTTCTGAAAGTTCTGCCTCTGATCCCAGAGCAGTTGTGGTCTTCAGCTCTGGGTGGAGGCTGTAAAGGGGATGTAGAGTGGGTGGCCATTGGACCCAGCACTAAGGTCCTACAGAACATGCATCAGCTTCCTAGACTCAAAAAGGTGGGGCAAGGTTGGGGAATGGAGGGTCATTCATTGTTCCCAGAGACTGGCTCCAAGTGGACCAGCCCTTGAACTGGTCCAGGCAGCCCTATAGAGCCTATAGGCTCTTCCCTGCCTCACCAGCACTATGATGATGAGGAAGAGGAGGATGAAGATGATGATGAAGATAGTGAAGAGGACTCAGAGGATGATGAGGACATGCAGGACATGGATGAGATGAATGACTACAATGAGTCACCTGATGATGGAGAGGTCAATGAGGTAGGCAGGGGTGTGGGGGAGGGCCCCTACCCCTGACCTAACTGGTGGCCAAGGGTTACAGAGACGCTGGTTCCAGACGGGCAGGATCTGGGACTGGGGCTGGCTGGGTGGCTGAGGCCCCTTCCCACCCACACCCAGCCTTCTCTCCAGGTGGACATGGAAGGCAACGAACAGGATCAGGACCAGTGGATGATCTAGGTAGACAAGGCAGGGTGGCCTCAGGGAAATTCCAGGCCAGCCGAACTTACCCTGCATCCCCTGCAGAACCAGCTGTTTGCCCCAGTGCCTGAAAGCTCACCTTTGGGTATTTCTTCAGCTGCTGCCAGGAACTGGTCTCCTTGGCCCCTCCCAGGCCATCAGTTTGCCCTTGAGTCCCCAGGGCCTGAGCCCAACCCACCTTTCTGCCTAGTACTTCGCCCTTTGGTTGCCAGGTATAGTCTCTAACTCCCTTTAATAAAGACACAGGACTGATTTTTTCCCCCCCGTGTCTATTCCCTATTTGTTGGTGGGGCCCAGAGGAATCCAGCATCTTCTCTTGAGCTTTAGGGAGAGGGCACACAGGGGACTTAGGGCAAGCCTACCTGACCATGCGGTCCAGGGCTAAGGAAGGCCAGAGTGTCCCTGGCTCTGGGCCCAGGCTCCATCTCTGGCCCAGCTTATATTCATATATTCCTTCAGAGCCTCTCTGTTTCCTCTGATCCCACCTGGAACTGCATGGGCTGGGGAGGGCAGGCTTTCTGTGGCCCGGAGCTGGGACGCCCCTGGAGCTCTTCCAGCCAGCTTCCTTGGTGTTAAGAAAGCAGATTAAATCTCAGAGCAGCACAGGGACTCCTTTGGAGTCACCCAGAAAATCAGTGATAGAGTTGGGTTGGGAGCTCAGGACTCTTGCCTGTTAATCCATGACTCTCTCTGGAAGGAGAGGGGCCAGTGGGACCAAGCAATCTGACAGAACTTGATGCCTGAATCAGTGTGGAACAGGAGTAGGGCAAAGGTGGGAGGACAGCCTTCCCCCCCACACACTGCCCCCCAGAGCTCAGCATGTGTCAGGCCACAAGCAGTGGGGGAGGGGATGTTCTGAGGTCCTTGCTTGGGTGGGGGTGGAGGGGTGGCAGTAAGTACCCCTGGGCCTGGACCTCAGCCAGGCCCTGCATAGGTGAGCTGGGCTATGCCGTCCTTGATGGCAGGGAAGTCTGGGAGGCCAGTGTGGTGGAGGCGGCAGCGGTAGCGGCCACAGTTCTTGGCATACTGCAGGAAGCGAGGTGCACCAGGGAAGAGCACATGGTCAGCCAACACAGTGGCACCAGCTGGCAGCAGGGCGTGGGCCTCCAGCAGCTGCAGGTCTCGCAGGTAACATCGGGGCCGGTGTGCCAGGAGCACCATGTCTGCCCGACTCAGCTGGTACTGGGTTCGTAGGCGTGGGATCACCTCCTCTGAGCTACTCACGATGAGCTCCACCTGTGGGAGTGGGAGGAGCTGGAGGTGAGGGTGGGAGGGACTGTCTCCCACACTAGACGCCCGCAGGATCTGGCTTACTTTATGCCAGGTCCCGGCCTAGGTCCCCATGAGTGTTCTCACATTTCCTCTGTCCTCAGAAAAACCCAAGAGGCAGATTTCCATTCTGCCAGTGATGAAGCTGAGATTCAGAGAATAAGTGCTTTGCCCAAGGTCATAAAGCTCACAAGACATAGACAAGGTTTGGACCCAGATTTGCTGGGCTCCAGAGACCTTCCTCTTAACTGCTCCTTTGTCATCCAGCAGCAAATATGAGCAAATGACTTGGAACAGAAAGGCAGGAGTTCATACATCACCGAGGGTCACAGTCCCCTATGAGGAGCTGCTGCCTTCTCCTAGGTGGGATTCCATCACTGGGAAGGCCTGGCTAGGGCAAGGCTGGGGGTGGAAGGGAAGAGACAAGGGTTGGGGAGGTGGGGGCTGACCGTGCGCTCGTCAAAGCCAGCCAGGCGGATGAGTTTTTCAGCCACTGCTGCCATGCGTGGGTCCCACTCCACGGTGAGAAGGCGGCCCCCGGGGGGCAGGGCATGGGCAATAAGCAATGTGGAGTACCCGCAGTGGGTGCCCAGCTCTAGCACGGAAGCAGGGGCCTTCTCCTCCACCAGCCGCATCAGGATCTGACCTGGGGGGAAGATGGCTGTTGCAGCAGACATGGGAGACAGATGCAGGGCCCCTGATAGAAAGGGATCTCAAATGCCCACCTGCCTCACTGCAACCCCCAAACAGCTGGGGTCTTCTCAGACTACAGTTCCAGCTGCCCCCACTGGTCCCCTGCCCCTCCAGGCTTGCCTCCTTCACGCTCCTCTTCATACCAGCCATTAGGCATCTTTCCAACAAACAAATCTGACCCTGTTGTTCCTTGGTTCCTATGATCCTCAAGGCCTTTGAGATTGAACTTGAGATCCTCAGCCTGACATTCGGGACCTTCTTGGACCCGATCCTATCCAAACTTTCCAGTTCTTCCCATCTGTAGCCTGTATCACAGCCCTCCCAAGCACTGTGCCCAGAGTCAACCAAGTCGATGCTGGCTCATTCCATCATGCTACATTAGCATATGTGACTGGCTTTGCCCCTCCCCACCCCTGTCTATCTGCTTGGCCAAGCTGGAAGCAATTCTTCTCTGTGTTAAGTGTTGCTTTCTCCAGGAGGGCTCAAGCAGAAACAACCACCAGGCTTCTGAGAGACCTTTGCTAGAACTTCCAGTTTCATTCCCCCTTGTTTTATTCATTGAATATCTTTCTAACCTTGGAATTTAAAAAATTTCTTCAGACTCTAAAAGCACTTGTGCCAGGAGCCGGGACTCAGACAAAGCCAGGCAGCTACCCTGAATGGGATGTGGGAGCCTCCACGGTGTGGGGGAGAAATACTTAGCACAGGTAATTAGAAAGTTATGGGTTATGTGCTGAAATGGTTGTCCCTTTTGTATTATGTCCCCTTTGAGGCCAGCATTTATGGCTGATTCATCTGTGTGGCCTCTGCCTCCTTTTCCCACCCAGCACCTAGTATAGGCCTAGCACAGAAGGGTGGCAATAAGTGTTTGCTGGATGAGTAACTTTGCCTAGCCCCCTCATTTGCAGAGGAGAGAAAGACCCAGATAGGATCAGGAACCTGCCCAATGCACCCCGTAGGCAGCGGCAGATCCCAGACCTTCCTTACCATCTTGGGGGTGCTTCCTGGAGCAGAAGGCTAAGGAACACTGACCTTTGACAGGCCCCATGTGGCCCAGGTACTCGCAGTGGCTGCTCCAGTGGTCCAGGGTGGTGATGATGTGACTGGGGTCCCCAGGCAGGGCGTGGGTGAGCACATAGCTGAAGGCCCGCTCCTCAGCCCGCAGCCCTGAAAGGCAGTCTCGGAGGCTCCGCAGCAAGACCATACGCACCAGCAGTCGGAAGTAGTGCCGGTATCGCACGAGCAGTGTCACCACCAGGGGCAGGAAGGCCAGTGCGATGGCGGGGGACATGGTCCCTACCAGGGCTCTGGGGTGAAGGGAGGCAGGGAGGGAAACCCACACCCACCATTGCTTGTCATTTGTATTATCCCTATATTTTACAAACCATAGCTCAGAAAAGCTGTCTTTTGTCCAGAGTCACACAGCAGAACTGGAATTTGAATCTGAATTGGTCCGATTTCAAGCCCATGTACTTTCAAGGACTTCATGCTAGTCTGTGTTCTGCACCCACCCCCAAACCACCTCTTCCCACTTCTGCCCCTTGATCCTATCTTCACCTTGCTTCTTCCACCTGTTTCTCCTCATCTCTGTAGTCACCCCTTCTGGACTGCTTTCTGCAGACCTCCTCTGAGATATCCTCCACCCTCCCTACCCTCTGCCTTCTCTTCTCTGACCCATTAATGTGGAGCAAAAGAGCACAGCTTTGTAGTCAGAAACCCCTTCAGGCCCTGTGTGCTGCCTTAGTAAAAGGCAATCAAAACACTCCATAGGGTGTTAGGATGAGATTTCTTCCCATCCCTCCATCTGGTCTTCCCTGAGTGTGGGAGGAATCCTTGATTCTCTATCTCCTCTCCAGAACCTGTCTCCCCTCCCCTGCATTCGCCTTTTCTGTTCTCTCTCAGAATTCCTTTTACAAGCATGTACAGACACAGCACACAGTCCCCCCACTCGGGCCTCTTCTTCCAGGCCCCCTATGGGGGACAAGTGCCTTCTCCTCTCAAGTGCCCTGGACCATCCTCCCTTTCCTCCAGATCTGCCCCTCGTGAGGCCCCTGGTGATGGGGACTAAAATTGAAAGTAAGAGTATATAAATGGATGTGAGTAGGTGAGTGATAGTGAGTTTGAACTGGTGTGCTTGGGAACCCACACTCAAGAGCCCTGCTTACCTGGGCTGGAGGCTCCTGCTTGGGGAAGATCAGAGGGGGAGTCCTTGGGGCCAGAGAACTCTGAGGCAGGCTGGACCTGCTCTCAATTATTGATGCAGAAGCTGCTGCTGTCACCTGAGACCTGCAGTTCAAGTTACTAGCTGCAGCAACAAGGTGGGGCTAACTCTTACCCTTCTCGAGCACTGAAAAAATGTACAGAACTCCAGGGTCTTGATCTGAGGGGTAATAAGAGCTACTGGGTTTGGTGACCTCTCCTCTAACTCCTTGTATCAGGACATGGGACATGGTGTGAGCCAAGGTGATGGGAGGCTGTAATTTATTCAATTCAGAATTCAACTGACATTTTGTCTAAGTAAATGCCAGGGTGTGGGTCGCAGAGGGGAATCAGATCTTGTCCCCTTCCTCCAGGAACTCCAAGTTTGGAGGAAGAGACTGATCCAGAAACGGAGAATAAAACATAATGCAGTGCTCCATGGATACAGGGACTTTGGGCTGTTTTGTGAACTGCTATGTATCTAGACAGAACAGTGTATGGCACATCAGACACTCAGTAATTTTTGATTCGATAAATGAAGGAATCAACACGGGATAGGGATTAAGCACAGGGAGCTGGACATGCCCAAACAATGGGATCGAAGATGGCAATCAGGAGAATACTGTTTGTAGTGAGGCTTGAAAGCAGAAGGCAGACCTGGTGGGGAGACGGTGTGCCAGGCCACATGAGGAAAGTCCAGGAGGTCAGTCGGGAAACTGCAAATATTTTCTTAGGGCTGGTGAGGCATCAGTCCAATCCCTGCACCGCCACCACCATCACTACCAGCCCCCACGACCCAAATGCTGGAATGGGAGGCAGGTGAGAGGCTCTGCAAGATCTTGAATGAAAGACCTGGACCTGTGTTCAGCGTCCAAGGGAAGATACGGGGTGGTTCTAAGAAAAGAGCATTGTGTGTTTGTTAGATTACTATGGTTGCTGTAAAAAGGCCAGCAAGATTGAAGAGAAATGCCTGAGGGCAAAGCATGTGAGGGGGTTTCTATCTCTTCCAGGATTGAGCTCTGCTCCGCTTTGGTTTGTGTATGAATAAGGGCTTTTCTTCCAGTAAGTCTCCGATCCCCAGTCCAGGCTGAGAACTCCGTTGGGCGCCACACTATGTGTACCCCGACTGGGGGCTGGGCATCTGGGTCCAACGCTTGTACACAGAGACTTGTGTGCTCTAGGAGGGTAGGGCCTCAATCCCACTCGCCCCTCGCATGGCATTTAGGAGAGCAAATCATGATGGCATTTGGGATAAGTTCACTCACTGGCCCAAAAAGGTAGCCTGGCACCACGCGACCACAAAGTACGAAGACCTCTAGACCCGGTGAAAGAAGACTCAAATTCCAAGACCGGGCAGCGACTTAAGTCATGTGATCTGCCCCGCCTTTTCATCGCATCACGTGTCTCGCGTTTTGTCAAGCGAGGTGAGCCTTCCCATTGGTCGGCGATGATCACGCGGTAGAGGCGGGGCCGGAAGTTGGGGTTGCGGCGGCAGCTGCGCGGCTCTGGGAAGGGATAGGCCGGGAGGCGGGTGGCTGCTTGCTGGAAGCAGCCACGGGTCATGTGACCGGAAGGGCTCCCGACGGACGCCGTCCCTCCTCGGCGCCGCCTGAGTGCCCGGCCCGACCCCGGCCATGGGGTGCTGCTACAGCAGCGAGAACGAGGACTCGGACCAGGTGCGGCCGCGGCGGGCGAGGCTCGGGAATGAGGGTTGAGAGGCTGAGGCGTGGGGCCCAGAAGAAAACCTGCAGAAGAGCGGGAGCGGGACTGCGGGGCTCATATAGTACGGAGGCCGGGAGGGGACAGATTACAGAGGGGACGTCCGGCCAGGCTCCTACCCCTGTTAAAGCCCCAGCTTTCTCTACAGTCTCCGCATTGGGGTGTGCAGGCAGCCGCCTGTCCCGCTTGCTCCCACCCCTTTCATCTTATCCCACCCTTAAACCTTTATAGCCTTCAGGATCCTCAGCCTAGGTCTGGGAAACTGTCTTCCCAGCTTCCTGTGCTTTTTCTGTGCTTGTATGAGCGGGCTTTGTGAATCCATTCTAGAGACGGGTAAGCTGAGGCTCAGAGTTCGTTTGTCCTGACATGAATCAGGAATTTGTGTATGCTCTCAACCCCTGGGGTTGGAGAAGGAAGGTCACTGCTGGTTTGGGGTCAGAGAAGGCCTCTGGAAGTAGGTGGCATTTGAGTTGACCAGTGAAGAATTTAATAGAGACAATGAGGACATCGAGACATGTGGGAAGTTGTTTGGGAAGCTACAAAGTGGGTTTCCGCCCTGGCTGGAGTGGATTAGAGAGACGGGATGGGGAGCTCCGTTTGGCCTGCCTCAGTGCAGTTTTTGCTTGGGGCCTGAAGGTTCCTTCAGCTAGAGAGGGTGCCTGTCCTGGGAATTTGTAGATCTGATCCCTTTGCACAGGGGATCAGGCTGAGAAACCTGTGCAGTTTTAAATTCTCCCTCTTCCTCTTGGTGCATTCTCACTTCTCCCCACACCTTAAACCCTGCCCTGCCTGCTTGATCTTTTAGGAGTGGGGAGACCTTCCTGAGGATGAAGTCTCAAGCTCTTGGCCACTCACCTTTTTTATTGTCTCTAAGCCTGGATTCTACATTTCAACACATTCTAGACATGGACACGGTAGAAAGATTTCAGCAAGTAGCTCACAGTCTGGTGGGGAAGATGGTAACAGAAATGGATTTTGTTACTGGTATTTGGGAAGTAGGTCTTTCCCCAGTGACTCACATGAACCTATTTTAGGTTAAGGATTTAAGGTTAGGAAAATGTCATTTGTATGAGAGGCATGAGGGGCTCCTGGGCCTCATTAATTTCCCACTCAATGAACACATACTTTTATTTCCTATGCCTTATGTTAGGCATACCTCATGCCCACTCCCCTCACTTCATTGCAGCCTCCTAGAGGAAACGGTATGCCTGCCTACTGGGAAAACTGTGGCATAGTGGGAGATTGTCTTCTAAAGAGTAATACAGACTCTTGCAAGGAATGAATCAAGAAGGGTTAGTGTCTTCTAAGAAAGGATACCAGCTTCTAGTTGGGAGAACTGGGCTTCCTGCTCTCCTGAATTTCACCTTCTTGACAGGCTCTCACTTCTGTATTTAACCCCCAGAACGGTGCTCGATCAGTGCTGGGTGATTTAAGGCTTCGTGTGGCAAAAGTCTATGCCATACCCTTCACTATCTCAGAGTCCCTCTCTCAGCTAGCTCTTGGACAGGCCACTCTCCCATTCTCATCTCTGTTCCTTTATTTTAATAAAAAAACGTATGATGCATTTTTCAAAGGCCTTTATAGTTCTTTCATTTGATTTTTGCCAAGCGTTTGTCATATAGGTACAGGTTATGTATTTAAAGGCAAGAAAAAGGGGGGCCTGGGTGGCTCAGTCGTTAAGCATCTGCCTTTGGCTCAGGTCATGATCCCAGGGGCCTGGGATTGAGCACCGCGTCGGGCTCCCTGCTCCTCAGGAAGCCTGCTTCTCCCTCCCACTCCCCCTGCTTGTTTTCCCTCTCTCTGTGTGTCTCTCTCTCAAATAAATAAAATCTTAAAAAAAATAAAATAAAGGCAAGAAAAAGTTTAGAGAGACTAAGTGATTTAGCCAAGGATACAGAGCTGAGTAGTGCCATAGCCATGGTGTCTTGATACCAAGCCATGTGCTTTATCCGTTGGGCCAAGCTGTCTCTTTTAGCTGTGCCCATAGACCAGGTGGGTAATCATGGGCAGGCCACATATATTTGTCTGTGCTAGGGTAGACAATGAAATCCTGACTCCGGGGTTGACACTGACTCAGGGACAGACCTTGGTGTGAAAAACCTCCTCCATGCCGCACTTGGCCTTTTGGGGGTGGGGTGGTGTTATTTGTCCACTCTTTTTTTTTTTTTTTTAAGATTTTATTTATTTATTTGAGAGCGAGAATGAGAGAGAGAGAGAGAGAGAG